TGCCACCGCTCTCCCTTGTGCCAGGTCCCCGCCCGGTAGACCCCCTCCCCCCTCAGGGTCCTGCCCCTTCAAGTGTGTCCCAGGTAGACGCAGTCGAGCCTGTCAAGGTTACTGGTGATTCTGGTGCTGCTGGGGGTGCTGAGCCAGGGGGTGCTGACTCTGGGGGTGCTGAGCCTACGAGTGCCACTACTTGGGGTGCTTAGCCTGGGGGTGCTGAGCCTGGGGGTGCTGAGCCAAGGGGTGCTGAGCCTGGGGATACTACGCCTAGGGGTGCTGAGCCTGGGGGTGCTACGTCTGGAGGTGCTGAGCCTAGGGGTGCCACGTCTTGAGGTGCTGAGCCTGGGGGTGAGGAGCCTGTGGGAGCTGGACCTGCTCGTGTGGCGTCTGGCCGTGCTGGGCCTGGAGGTTCTTTGGGTGCTTAGTCTCGGCGGGAGCCACTCTCTCCAAAGGAGCTGCGCCAGTGGTTTGCGTGACGCTGGAGGCGAGCTACTGGAGCTGGAGCTTCTTCGGCTGCTGAGGGTGCTGATGCCGCGGGTCCCGTAGGTGCTCGTACTGGGAGTACTGGAGCTGCTGGGCCTGCGAGTACGAGTGGAGCTGGAGCTGCTGAGGGTGTTGGCGCTGAGGCTGCTGCTGTCGTTCCTGGAGGAGGTCCTGCTTGGGGTGCTCCTAGTGCTGGTGGAGGTACTGGAGCTGGAGGTGCTGCTGGCGCTAGTGCTACCGCTGGGGGTACTGGTGCTGTCCCTGCTGTGTCTCGTGTCCCCGCGCGGCCTCGGCCGTACTTCGTTCCGCTCCTTCAGCAAGTTCTTGGTCTCCCGCCTTCTCCCGGTCCTCCTCCTCCCTTAGAGTGTCCACAGCCTATCCCGTCACACTTATAGTTCCAGCCGGTCTCCCCACTGCCTGCTCCTTCTTCCTACACTAGTCCTACTGGAGGTCTTGCTGAGCGTCGTGAGCCTGCGTCTCGCCCTGTGTCGCCTGTCCGTCCTGCTCGCACTAGTGGTTGTGGCTCGTGTCAGCGTCCTCCTCCTGTCCGTGGCACGCACCAGATGTCTCTACTTCCGTCCACTGCTCCTCTCCGTGCCCCTTTGCCTTCTCCTCCTGCGTCCTCGCTTCCTGCTCTTGCAGACCCGGAGTCGGACTCTCTTCGTGCTGCCAGTCCTACTATCACGCGTCTCCTTGCTACTGTCGTCAGTGACCCTTTGTTTGAGTTGAGTGCTGCGTCTGCCCTAGTTGTTGAGCTTGTCGACTTCGCTGCTCGCTATTGTCTAGACTACGCTGCTCGTCTTGTCGCTGAGTCTGAGTCTGTCAGTCCTACGTCCGTCGGGGGTGAGTGTGCCCTTGGCACGGACGTCCTTGAGGACAGGGAGGAGGAGTTCTAGTGTTTGGCTGATGCTTCACCTCATCTCATGTTCGTACTGCTTACACTTGAGGGAGACCCGGATGCACTAGACATCCCGGCTCCGTGCTATTACGCAGAGGCGATAGAGGGTCCCTACTCCTCTCATTGGCAGGCAGCTATAGACACACATATGGCTTCCTGGAAGTCCACAGGCACCTACGTTGACGAGGTCCCCCCGCCTGGGGCGAACATCGTCAGTGGCATGTGGATTTTCATGGTGAAGCGGCCGCCGGGTTCTCCGCCTGTCTTCGAGGCGCGTTAGGTGGCTTGTGGCTTCAGTCAGCGGCAGGGAGTTGACTACTTTCAGACGTTCTCTCCCACCCCGAAGATGACCACTCTTTGGGTGCTGCTGCACATAGCTGCTCACCGCAACTACGAGCTGCACTCTCTTGACTTCACCACTGCTTTCTTGCAGGGCAGCCTGCACGAGGAGATCTGGCTGCGTCGCCCACCTGGCTTCACTAGATCTTTTCCTCCTGGCACCCAGTGGAGCCTCCGCCGGCCAGTCTATGGTCTCCGCCAGGCAACGCGTGAGTGGGACGACACACTGAGGACTACACTTACGGCTCTTGGGTTTGCTCCCTCTACTGCAGACCCGTCACTGTTTCTGCGCACCGACACTTCTCTGCCGCCGTTCTACATCCTCGTATACGTCGACGACTTGGTCTTTGCCAGTGCTAACACTGCTGGACTCGCCCACGTGAAGTCCGAGCTGTAGAAGAGACACACGTGCACAGACCTGGGTGAACTGCATAGCTACCTTGGGCTGCAGATCACTCGGGACAGAGCACGCCGCACCATTACTCTGACTCAGTCACACATGGTGCAGGAGGTCCTTCAGCGCTTCCGCTTCACGTACTCCTCGCCTCAGGCCACTCCTCTGCCTACTCGCGATTCGCTCTCACCTCTACCTTTGGATGAGTCCGTAGAGTATAGTGGTCCGTACCTAGAGCTTGTTGGCTGCCTCATGTACCTGATGACCTGCACACGACCTGACCTTGCATACCCTCTTAGCATTCTTGCACGCTATGTTGCTCCTGGGAGACACAGACCGGAGCACATGGCTGCAGCAAAGAGGGTGTTGCGCTACTTGTGCAGTACGTCGCGCATGGGGCTTGTGCTTGGAGGGCACATTCCGGTGGTCCTCATTGGGCACGCAGACGCTTCTTGGGTTGAGGACCAGGCTACGCAGCGGTCGTCACAGGATTACACCTTCAGCCTTGGTTCCGACTCTGTTTCGTGGCGGGCTACCCGCTCATCTTCTATTCTCGGCTCCAGTTGTGAGGCTGAGATCTACGCCGGGGCCATGGCTGCATAGGAGCTTTGCTGGCTCACCTACCTGCTGAGTGACCTCGGAGAGCCGCCTCGTTCTCCTCCAATGCTGTACGTAGACAACAAGGCCATGCTGGCCTTGTGTTGAGAGCCGAGAGTGGAGCACAGAACGAAGCACATTGCTCTCTGCTACTTCCTTGCCCGTGAGCTACAACAGCGTGGTCAGCTGCGCCTTGTGTACGTGGCCTCTGAGGCCAACACTGCTGATATCTTCACCAAGGCACTTGCGCCTTGTGATCATCAGCGCTTCTGTATTCAGCTGGGTCTTGTGCCTACCTTGCCTCACTTGCTTACCTCTTGACCTTGTTTGTATTGTTGCATATATATATGCTCCTGCTCTTGCTTGTCTAGACTTATATATATATGTTATCATGCATGTGAACTGGCCTTGTGGCCTTGAACTCGTGCTCGGGATGTGTGATGACTTTGTGATCCACCCTGAGCTTGCTTTTTTTGGCTTGAGTGGTCTTGTGACCCCTTGTTCTCCCCCAATTTGCCTATGGCGGTGTATCCGATTGATATGACATAGCTACTGTAGGCTACAGTGGGGTAGCACATATGGGGTACAGCTTTCTAGGGTTTGTACTTGTACCCCACTTTCCTTTAGTCATTCTCATTCCCCTTCATTTTTCTCATGTACTGTCTTACAAAAGGCACAGACTACATCATACTAATTGTGTATGTAGACGATCTGCTCTACATCGGGTTGACCAACGACGTCACTACCTGGTTCGAAGGGGAGCTATGGAAAGATCTCACGCTTACGGTATCGTCAACCGTCACGCAATATCTCGGCCTCAACATTCAGGATGAAGAGAACTCAATCTACCTCAGCGCCGCAAAAGACGCAGACACCATCGCCAAACGCTTCGCACTCACGCCGACCACCATCTCCATGCCATACCACTACACGGCAGGAAATAACAAGGAAGGATCCGCTCCACTAAAGCCCGCCGACATACACGACTACCAGAGAAAACTGGGATGCCTCCTCTTCGCAGTTGTCACCTTCTGTCCGGACCTATCGTACTCCGCAAGTTAGCTCACAACCTACCTCAAAAAATCCTGAATCAGAGCACATGGCGGAACTCGACCGCGCTCTCCACTACCTCATCAGCACCTCAACCGTCGGTCTAACCTACCACAAGAACGGAACTACGACACCTAAACTTATCGGCTACGTCGACGCCGATCACGCCGGCGACTCCGACAACAGACGCTCACCCACTGGCTATATCTATCGCCTCGAGCCTATTGGGCTTATCTCCTGGCAGTCGAGCAAGCAGGAGTTATTTGCTCTCTCCACAGTTGAAGCTGAATATATCACAACTTGGTCAGCCACCAAGGAAGGACTGTACGTTCGCGAACTTCTGGAGGAGGCGAATCTAGCTCAGTTACCCAGCTTCTCCTTGTTCTGCGACAACCAGTCGGCAATTCGCATAGCCAACAAAAACGGATTCGCGAACAGGTTGAAGCATATCGCCCTGCGATATTTCTTCGTAAAAGACAAGATCGAGAAGGGGAGACTTGAGCTGTCTTACTGTCCCATGTCCGAGATGGCAGCTGATTGCTTGACCAAGAAGCTTGGAATGCAGAAGTTCGAATACAGCATGCTGCTGACTGGACAGAGCCACGTCATCAGCAGCGACACTCCAGAAGCGAAGGTGAGTGTTGGAAACAATTGACTTAAGCGCCTTTGTCGTGTCGAAACACTAAGTCATAAGCGGAGCAGAAAATATCGAAGCATCGGCAAGTCAACCCTTGGAGGTTGAGCAACTGCTGGAGGTTACGCGAAAGTCAAAGGTCAGCGACCTTTGACTTGACAAATACAGCGCGATAGCAAGGACAAACAACTGATTCGTTATTGAGCAGTTGCTTGAGTCGTCACTGTATCGAACCGCAACAGCAACAGCAAAACAATTATTAGTTATAACTATTCATATTCTCTTGTATCCCCTTGTTTTAATCAATCTACTTTGCCCTCATATACTAGCGCAAGGTGGTTCAAACACTTCACTAAAAGCTTCTACTATTATATCATCCCTATCCAGAGTTTAGTCCTGTAAAAGATCCTAAGGGCTTTTCTCAGCCCAGCTCTTATTTCATCTCTCCACGCGGCGATGGCCTTCCGCTTCTCCGCGGGGCTCCGCGCGGACAAGCTGCACAATATGATGCGCGGATTAGCGCAAGGCTGGCGCTCAACCAGCCAGCAACTACAACAGAGCGGCGGAATGGGCGGTGGAGTAATGGGCGGCGGAGGGAGCGGCGAGGAATGGGCAGTGGCGGAATGGGCGGTGGAGGAATGGGCGGCGGAAGGATGGGCGGCGGAGGAATGGGCGGGGAGGGAATGGGCAGCGACGATGGTGGAATGGGCGGCGGAGGAATGGGTGGCGCAGGGATGGGCGGCAGAGGGATGGGCAGCGAAGGGATGGGCGGCGGAGGGATGGGCGGCGGAGGGATGGGCGGCGGTGGAATGGGCGGCGGCAGAACGGGCTACGGCGGAATGGGTGGCGGAGGGATGGGCGGTGATGGAATGGGCAGCGGCGGAATGGGCGGTGGCGGAATGGGTGGCGGAGGTACCGAAGGCGGAATGGGAGGTGGCATGGGCGGACTTGGTTCCTCTGCTCCCGGATCACAATCAGCCATAGGTCCTAGGGGGAACATGGGCGGAATCATGGGTGGCGGTATAGGCGGCGGAGGAATGGGCGGCGGAGGAATGGGAGGGGAAGGCATGGGCGGCGGCGGAAAGGGCGGCGGCGGCATGGCTGGCGGCGGAATGGGTGGCGGCGGCATGGGTGGCGGCGGAATGAGCGGTGGTGGAATGGGCGGTAGAGGAATGGGAGGGGGAGGCGTGGGTGGCGGAGGAATGGTCAATGGTGGAATGGGCGGCGGCGGAATGGACGGCGGCGGCATGGGTGGCGGCGGAATGGACGGGGGCGGAATGGGCGGTGGCGGCGGCATGGCCGGAGGCGGAAAGGGCGGGGGCATGGGCAGACCTCGTTCCTCTGCTCCTGAATTGCAATCAGCCATGGGTCCTAGGGGGAACATGGGCAGCGGAGGAATGAGGGGCGGCGGAATGGGAGGCAGAGGCATGGGCGGCGGAACGGGCGGCGGAGGCATGGGTGGCGGAGGTATGGGCAGCAGAGGTACGGTCGGCGGAGGTACGGGCAAGTCAAGGTGGTTTTCTCTAGGGTCGCAAGCAGCACCCGGCCAGGGTGGACCAGGGATGGGCGGAGGGATGGGCGGAGGGATGGGCGGGGGGATGGGCGGAGGGATGGGCGGGGGGATGCGTGGGGGGATGGGCGGAGGGATGGGCGGAGGGATGGGCGGGGGGATGGGCGGAGGGATGGGCGGAGGGATGGGCGGTGTGAGGATCTAGGATCAAGCTCAGACAAGAGAATTGTAATTGAATCGAATTGAATGATCACCTGGGTACAACACAAGGCTATATATAGGCTCGTCACAAGGCCCCGTAACCAGGTGTTACGCGAAGGTTCCGCGAGCCGTGTAGCATCCCGAACAGACCCTTACCGAATTCGGTAGAAGGCGATTCGGTGGCAACCGAAAAGCCAGAATTCGGTGCGCGCAACCTAGCTCGGTGCTATAACTATAATAAAATATAGGAAAGCACTTAGCCTAGGAAATCAAGCAATTCATGCATGCATATAATTATCCTATACTAGAAATCGCATAAAAAAGTAAAGGCAAGCAAGCATAGCTGGCATAAGCCGTCGTACTCTCACACGTCCCCCCCTCAAACCTGGGTGGCGTGAGATACACCCTGCTTGACAAGATAGTCCTTGAGAGCACGGCATGTATTGCCCATATCAGCTTCTGCAACCCAACTGTCCTCAGTGGGGTCGTATCCCTTCCAGCGTATCACGAACTCGAGGGTCTTGCCGCCGCGGCGCCGATGAGTGAGAACGTGCTCCACTTCGTACTCGGGTTCATCCTGTATGAGAACAGGTGGTGGTGGCGGTAGCTGCCGTCCCTGGAACTGTTGGTTGGGGTCCTTGTAGGGATTTAGTAGCTGGACATGGAAAGCGTTGTGAAGCTTCCATGCATTTGGTAAGCGCAAGCGGAATGTAACTGGTGTCACCTGTGCCTCAACGACAAAAGGACCACAGAAGCGAGGCCAGAGTTTGGATGGGAGGTGAGACAGGTTCTAGTTGCGCGTGTCAAGAAGCACCTGATCTCGGACTGCTACTGAGTGATCACGTCGCTGACGATCGGCATACTGCTTCTAGGAGGTCTGCATCATGGTGAGTCGTCGCTGAGTCTTCTCCCATAGGTGCAGCATGGTGGTGACGAAGTCATGATCGGCTTGGACGTGTGCCGTTGTGGTTGGCTGCTGTGGTGTGAGTGGTTCCCGTCCGTAACACAGGAAGAAAGGAGTTTTCCCTGTGGCCGCATGTGATGCGTTGTTGTAAGCGAACTCTAGGGTCGGCAACTGTGTGTCCCAGTCGCTGACGCTATCCTTGCAAGCTGTGCGTAGTAACAGTTCAACCGCTTGATTGAGTCGCTATGTCTGTCCGTCAGTCTGGGGGTGGTATGTTGAAGACATTGCAAGCTTTGTCCCCAACAGTCCCATGAGCTCCTTCCAGAACTTACTGGTGAATTTTGGGTCTATGTCTGAGATGAGTGTAGCGGGGATGCCGTGGATGGTGATGATGCGGTCGAAGAAGAGGCGAGCAGTTGCTTCAGCAGTAGCTGTGGCGTTGGTCGGTATGAAGTGACCCATTTTGGACAAATTATCGATCACCACAAGGATGGAATCATGTCCCCGTGAGGTCGAAGGAAGTCCTGTGATGAAGTCGAGGCTAACGACATGCCATGGCTGCTGTGGTACGGGTAGAGGCTAAAGTAACCCTGCTTTTTTCTGCTTGCTACTCTTCATCCGCTGGCACGTGTCGCATGAGGTGACGAACTGCTGCAGGTCTGCTGCCATCCCTGGCCAATAGTAATACTTTGCTATCCCTGCTAACGTCTTGTTGCTCCCGAAATGTCCTACGTAAGGTACGTCGTGAAACTCCTCCAATAGGATCTGCCGTAGCGGGGCGTAATTCGGAACCCAAATCTTTCCTGAACCCTTCCTTACCGCTAAGTCTTTCTCCCATTGTAACAGCTTCTTGGTCTCTGCTCTAGCGATCTCTGCGTCCACGGAGTACCCATGTTGGAATAGACCCTTGAGTAGAGGGTTCATCCCATCGAGCTGGATGCCTGCTACATGTCCGGGGCGGCTCAACGCGTCTGCCTTGTTGTGTAGCCCGGGCTTGTAGACGATGTCGTAGTGGAAGTGAGATTCCAGGAAGTCCACTCACCGCACCTGTCGTCGTGAGAGCGTCCGCTGCGACTTCAGGTATTTGAGACTGCAGTGGTTAGTATAGACTGTAGTCTTGGCTCCCTCTAGGTAACACCTCCACGCCTTGAAGGCTATGACTATCGCTAAGGCTTCCTTGTCGTGAATGGGGTAGTTTAGTTCTTCTCCGTGTAGCTTTATACTGAGGTAGGCGATAGGCTGTAAACCGCGTCCGTGATCCTACATCAGTACTGCTCCGACTGCTTGGTCACTAGCGTCTGCTTCCACGACGTAGTCCTTCTCTGGATCCGGCAAGATGAGTACTGGCGCTGTAGTCAGTGCTGTCTGTAGCTGCTCCATGGCTTGCTGATGAGGGGTATCCCATTTGTAGGGCGTATCCTTTTTCAGTAGGTCGGTTAGTGGGGCTGCTATCTTAGCGTACTACGGCACGAACCTGTTGTAGTAGTTGGCGAAGCCTAGGAACTGCTGCAACTCCTTCACGTTCTCCGGTACTTTCCACTTTTTGATGGCTTCGATCTTCCGCGGGTCCACGTGTACGCCCTCAGCACTCACCATGTGCCCGAGAAACTGCACCTTCTTCAGGGCAAAGTCGCTCTTCGACAGCTTCACGTAGAAGTTGTTTTTCCGCAGGATCTCGAACACCTTCCGTAGATGCTCCACGTGCTCCTTCATGTTCTTGGAGTAGATGAGAATGTCGTCCAGGTACGCCACCACGCTTTCGTCCAGTAGGGGTCGTAGGATGTGATTCATCTCTGCCTGAAACGTTGCTGGTGCGTTGCAGAGTCCGAACGGCATCACCAAGTATTCGTAGGAGGCGTATCTGGTACGGAACGCTGTCTTGTGGACCGAGTTGTCTGCCATCTTGATCTGCCAGTAACCCGATCGTAGGTCCAACTTTGAAAAGACTGTTGCACCACGCAGTTGGTCTAGTAGGTCGTCTATGTGCGGTATGGGGTATTTGTTTTTGACTGTCTGTTTGTTCAGTGCGCGGTAGTTGATGCACATCCGTAGACTGCCATCTGGTTTTGGATTAAAGAGGACTGAAGCACCGTAGGGAGAGGTGGATGGGCAGATCAGTTGTCTGTCCAGTAGATACTCTATCTGTTTCTTCATATCTGTCAGCTCGGTCGGACTAAGTCGGTATGGTGCACGTGAGACGGGTTTCGCACCTGGCTCCTCCAGGATCTCGTGCTCATGGGGGCGTGCTTGTTAGAGATTAAGGATCGAGTCTGTGAAGATTAGGAGCCTAAATTTCTCAAAATCGTTGGCTTGAAATTCTGAACAGAAACTGCGACTTCACAAGAAACGTTGTCGACGAAAAGTGCACCGTTAGAATCGTCTCAAACTCGAGTAAGTTATAGCCCTTGTTTGTGGCTATCATTCCCAATTTGAATCATATCGAAAAGTGTAGTAAATCTCGAGTTATGCTAATTGGCGCACCAGGGGGTATGCTGCCACATAGAAACTTAATTCACTCACAATAGTTTCACAAGTTCTCAAGGGTTACACACAAGAGAGTTAGAGTAGCACTAAACCAGGTAGGATGGGATGAGAAGGACGAGAGGGAAGGTCCCAAGAGAGTTCCTAACCAAGGAAACCCCATGCCACACAATTCCCTTCCCCATAGGCAACCCCACTTTCACTTTTGTCACTTTCCCAACCCATGCCATCCACCTTAACCCAACTTGGCCACACTTGCCAACCTGGTTTGGTTTCTCCCAACCAATTGGCAGCAACTACAGTAGAACAGACGAATTTCCCAACCCCCAAAAGTCTGTACCCCATATTGAGTCAACCCCACAACTCTCCATGGTCACCACAACCAAATATTAAAAGCATACGAACTTCAAACGTTCGTAACTTTCTTGTTCGTGCTCCGATTGAAGCGATACTTGGTTCGTCGGAAAGCTCTTGAGCAGTGGAGTCACTTCAGATATCTGCTCAAGCCAAATAACATTCACACACACACTCAGAAAATCCAAACAACAGAAAACACAAATTCTTGTGCACTCTCATTTCATACATGCAACGCACGAACACATGATGGGAGGCAGACAGACGTGAATGCATATGATTGCATCACATAACAGTGCTGGAGGTACACCAGCGGGTAGGTCGTCGGGCATTATATCCTTGTACTGCTCCAACACCTCCTTTACTACTGCAGGTAGCTCCGAACTTGGCTTCTCCTCCTCTGCTGCTGCCATAACCAGTGCGAAGTATCCCGTGTTACTCTCGTTCACAGTTCGTTGGAACCATGCCAGTGTCGTTTCAGGAACACTCCTTGGATCCGTCCAGCTTCGCAGCTCTAGTCGTTTCCCGTTGTTGTAGATGCATGCCTTCCTGTTGACCCAGTCGATCTCGGGGTTGAACCGCTTCAGGAAATCTCGCCCCAAGATGAAATCTAAACCCTTGATGTTTGTGATCGGCAACATCGGCTTCCACCTCAGCGCCCCTATGTGCAGCTGCAGTGAAGCTTCGTCGTGGATGGGAAGTTTGGTACCGTCCACCATTGTTGCCATGAACTTGGTCTCCTCTGAAGGTTCTCCAATTTTCTCCAACGTCCTGCGGTCGCACACCGAGTGAGATGCACCGCTGTCCACCAGTGCCTGGAGGCGTCGCGCGTTGCAGATCACCTCGAGTAGCAGTGGTTGTTGGTGCTCTGAGTAACCGTAGATAGTCTCGCTTATAGGATCGTAGGGTATGTCGAATAGATCATCCCTCGGTCCTGCGCTCGAAGCTGCTGACTCCATATCAGTTTCCAATTGAGCATGGTTAGAAGGATTTATCCGTCGCCGATTCAGCTTCGTCATGGCCTGGAACCTTCCCTTAAGCCTTTGCAGCTGTGTAGGCTTCACCGGTGGGCAATAGGGAGCCTTGACACCGTGCTGCGGGGAGAGAATATGAACACCTTGGAACGCACGACCCTTTTCAACGCTCTAGAGTGGTTTGCCCAACTTTTCAGGTACCTGAATAATGTCTGAAGTCTTTTTCTTGGCCTTGAAATCTCCCCTGAATTTTTTAAAGGCTTGAAAACCTCGAGAGGGAATATTATTACT